GTAATCAAACATAAAACATAGACTAACTTGGGTGACGCTCTATCGAAGGCGATCGTCGAGGGTGAGAGAAAACAGTAATTTTGGTCAGCGGGCAAACTATGAAACCCGCGAATATTGCGAAATCCCGCGAAAGGATGACATTTAAAAGCTGAAGACAATTTTTGACTAAGACACTAGAATGCATAATAATGGCGACGACTCAATGAATATATGAAAATAATATATGCGTACTGCGGTGTCATAAAATGTATGAAAGCGTTCCTCGCATTAATAAACCCTACTAAACTAGTAGGTGGAAATGAGGTAAAAATTCAGGACCGTACGGGATTTGAACCTACGACCTCTGCGATACCGGTGCACTGCTCTACAAACTGAGTTAACAAGCCAACTGGGAGCAGGTTATTATGTTGGTTCGTATTAAACCCGTCAATGAATTTGAATGTATGAAAGTCATATATGTGTACTGGGGTTTCATGAAATATATGAAAGCGTTCCTCGCAATAATAAACCCTACTGATCTAGTAGTGACTAAGTATTGTAGACATGACTTATTGACTGTCCGATGTAGGAGAAATATCAACGTCTGCATAGTGTGCCATGACGACGATGGAGAAGATTGGCTGGGATGCGACAGTTGTGACCTGTACTTCCACACAAGTTGCATCAAAGTGGATTACTCAGACTCTCTCTAGCGACTTTGTCTGCCCTTTCACAACATCGTTGCGGATTAGTGACATAAATCGATATTGGAGAATATTCTTCCCATTGTGGGACTGGCCTAAGACTAGACTAGGCTTTGTACAATTCCTGAAGTTCCCGTTATTTCACGAATTTTTTGACGCTTAAGTGTTGACAAGTTTTTCGTATTACGTAAGTGAAAAATTGACTCAACGCTGCAAGCAGAATCTCTCATAATTTACTCTTTAAGAGTCGAAGTTACCGTCCAAAATTCGAACGCTACTGTTAGGTTTATTGGCGCATTGATAACCTTGTAAATAGCTCAAACATACTGAACACATTTTCATTAGTTTTTGTATATCTTTATCCTTTGTTCAGTGCCATACACATTTCAAGTTTGAACTTTTCGTGGAAAACACGTGCTGCAGCTTACACGACGTATTATAAATTTAACCGCTGTACTGTAAACTTGTATGTTCCGCCCTCGACGAACGCCTTCGATATAGCGTCACCCGACTTACTTGACAGAATGTACATCTTGCTTGTGCTCCCATGCACGAAGTGTCTTATACTTTCGCACAGTTTGCTCTTCATAACCAACTCCAATTAAATATGACTTGACCATTGACTCATCCATGAGGATTGGTATGCCCCGGCCACCTTCGTCCATCTCATTTACCTGTGCCGGGAGGCTTTGAAGAACAAAGCATAACACAATAGAGGCTATTCTTATTCAATGACATGCAAATGAGTGGCCGGGTATTCTGCAATCTAACCGGTATGCCTGTTA